TGCGAAACGTCCCGCTTACAAGCACTGGGTTTCTTCTGGTTCCTTACAACTGATTGAAGCCCGTCGGTCTACTCCGGTTGACCGTGAGTTTGACCACAGACGAAGGATGTTACGTAATGAAATCGGTCAAAGCTTGAGTAAGGACCGAGAAGCCTGGTGGTTGGAGCGTGTCAATGAGCTGGAAGCAGCAGCTGCATCTGGTAACTATCGGAAGCCCTTCCAACTCATCCGAGCCACTGGCAGCAAGAAGTCTGGTGTGAGCGAAACAATCTGCAAGGATGACGGAACGCCAATCACTAACATCCATAGACGTCTTGGACGATGGGCCGGATTCTTCGATGGGCAGTTCAACTGGCCTGCTGCTCCGGCAACATCGGCCAGACTGCCCTGCCCTCCATGGCCGGTGACGACTGATCCACCAAATGAGGCGGAAGTCCGCAAGGAACTCCAACTCTTGAAACGTTACAAATCACCGGACCCAGATGACTTACCTCCGGCTATTTTTAAAGATGGTGGTGACTTTCTGACTAAGGAACTGACGACGTTGTTTACAAAGGTCTGGGAACTAGAGAGTGTACCAACGTCATGGAATGAGTCGATAGTTGTCCCTATCTTTAAAAAGGGTTCACTTGGTTCCTGTAACAACTGTCAGGGGATAAGTCTACTTCTGATTGCGTCCAAGCTATTGGCTTCCGTTATACTTCGTAGGTTGTTCAAAACCCGAGAAAGATTGACTCGCGAGGAGCAGGTTGGGTTTCGTTTCGGTCGAGGATGTATTAATCATATCTTCACACTCCGCCAAATGTTAGAACACCGTCATACTTATCAAAGGCCAACAATCGTAGTGCTTCTTGACATCAGGGCTGCCTTCGATTCGTTGGACAGAACTGTTCTCTGGGATTGTCTATTGAAGAAGGGTGTGTCTGAGAAGTTTATTAACATCCTAAAAGCCCTATATACAAACACCTCAGGCAGAGTGAGGGCATACAACCACCTTTCTCCATTGTTCCATTCAAGCAGTGGAGTTAAGCAGGGTTGCCCAAACTCACCATTCCTCTTCAACTTTGCCATCGATGACGTTCTGGAAACAGCTCTGATGGATGTAAGTAATGGTGGTATGGATCTGTTGCCTGAAGAAAGACTTCTCGACCTTGAGTATGCGGATGATATTGTCTTACTGTGCGATAATGCCCAAGCCATGCAATCCGCACTTAATTAGTTGGCAATCAATGTCCGTAGGTATGGTATGTGCTTTGCACCCTCGAAGTGCAAAGTACTTCTACAAGACTGGCAGGATTCTAATCCTGCACTCACTCTGGATGGTGAGCAAATAGAAGTAGTCGAGAAGTTCGTGTATCTAGGTAGCTGCATAAGTGCTGTTGGTGGCGTGAGTGATGAGATCAATGCACGTATAGTGAAAGCCAGAGCGGCTTATGCCAATCTGGGCCATCTTTGGCGCCTTCGTGATGTTAGTCTGGCTGTAAAAGGTTGGATCTACAACGCGTTGGTGAGAGCAGTTTTGCTCTATGCTTGTGAAACCTGGCCTCTCCGAGTTGAGGACGTTAGACGTCTCTCTGTGTTTGATCATCGCTGTCTCCGAAGGATTGCTGACATCCTGACATCTTGTTATTTTCACATTATCGTGCTCATATGGCACGGACTAACACTCGTACTAGTTCACATTATTGATGACTCACTGACAGTTCTGTACTTGATTTGTAGGAAATTAAAGTACCAGTTACAAGACTCATGGTTGAGTGAACTGACATGACCCGTAGGACCTGCCTTTTTCAACGTCTCAACTAACAATGATCCAGTACCCGATAAGCTGTGATTTCACTACATTCTACTATGCACATCTAATATCTAGACCATACAGCATTAATTCAATCATAAATTTATGTTCTCCAACATAAAATTATTTATAGATAATTCACTTGATAGGACAAATTATCATAAAATTTTCCATATTATATTATTCACCTCTTATTATTAGTGTCACCCACTTTATGAAAGTATAATTCAAGTTGGGAAGGGCAATATTTCCAAAAAAAATTTAGGATAAATTTGTTCATATGTCTACAAACGGTATAATTCCGTTTTTTTCAATCCTTATATTTTCAGGTGAAAACCACGCATTAACTTCGCAACTGTCTGTTCCGTTTAATCCTTCCCTTTTTCGCTTCTGTACGTCATATTTAACACCTACAGCTACTGGTAATCTGCACAATTCTCGTGCTGTAAATATTATGACCAGAAATGAAATATGTATAAGCAACTACAATTATTGCATTCCTCTTTACGTGTTAAATACTTATAATCAGTTGTCCAGACGGAGAAATAAGGTGATCTTCACGGCTTGTTGTGAAGCTTCAATGTGGAAATCATTTAATCCTGTCAAGAAATGTATCAAATCTGTAAATGGTCGACAACCTCTTATGTATGTGGCGGGTGTGTCTGATTCCAAAGGCTTTCTATCCTTAGTTGAACCATCTTTAACTCCTCATAAAAACATTCAGTTAATCAACTATCATACAGGTTATTGGACTACACTGGCACAACGTATTCCTACAAATACAAATTTAGAAGTAACCAGCTTACAATGTTTTGGCACATCATCTGGTGACCGATTAGGTCTGATTGTAGGTCGTCGATGTGGTCTGATTGAATTATGGGATGATCGTTTTCCTAATAAACCAGTAATTGAATACTATGGTTCAGACGGTTCTACCGTGATGTCAGTCTCATCTCACATCCCACCTTGCCCAGTTATTGATCCTGTCTTGCAAACAACAATCGCTAGTCCGTTATTACCAAATCATCATATTGGTATATGGGATTTACATAAAGGTGATGTAATTGATGTCTATGAATTATCACATCGTTTATCTCAATCAATATCTTTTGCACCTCCAATTATAATCCACCGGACAAGTTGGAACAATCAATATGGGTTAGTATGTAAAGGACCTGCACTTTTAGCCCTAGATGATGATTATGTCTGCTGTTTTGACTGAGATCCTGCACACTGATATACTTATTCTTTTAATAATATGCCTTCCGATTTATTTGGTTGTCTGTATAGCTTTCGTTATGAACTGACATGAATTAGGAAACCATTTGATCCTAGTACAGTAATCTAAAAATATTGTGCTTGCCTCAAAGCGGAATATATTGACATCGATTTCATATGGGGTCATGGATGGGCACTTCTGAACAGTTTTAAAATACGGTGAAACATCTACTTAATCCTCGTCGGTTATTAGTGGTTCTTCAGATGTCAGTTTATGCAAAAAACCTTCTTCATACTGATTCTTAGCAGTGTTCAAAATCTGCTGCAATTTGGCTATGATTCATTTGTTAATGTAAATAGAATTATTAAATAATCAGTTAAAAAATACCTTCTATTTCACTTTAAAATATAATGTTAGTATCATTTATATCTATATTTATTTGGTCAGAGCAGTTGTTCCTCAATAAAAATATTTTGGAACAAATATAAGATTTATGTAAATATCAACACTAATATTGTCCTCACTCTTCTGATTGTACTTTTTTGTACGTGTTTATGGTTCTTTACAAAATAAATCCTACTGTTGCCCAGGGTTTCGATTATTGTAGATAAAATCTAGAATTCACTTGTTACTTTACTTTTTCAAACTACACAAACTTTTACGTAATTTTAGAAACTGTAAAACTATGGTGTAAATTCAACTTTATGAACATATAAGCAAATATGGATACTGGCTAGCAATGGAATCCAGGACGAGTATTTAATCCTTTTTGGGACTTGTTAGCTGGATGTGCCTGTATCCCAGAGTGGATGTTCACCCCGGGACTCAGTCTCTTGTTAGCATATGTACATCCTGTGCGGATTGCCTCGAAATGCTCTCACATGGCCAAGTGCATACAACCACTGCCAGGGAAGTCGTACTCACTGCCTTTTCACGAAGGGCTATTGTTTACGGAATCGGGAGGACGAAAAGCGAATGTCCGGCGTTTTAACCGAGTCGGTGAGTACGGAGGATCCACCTAGGGGAGTTAGGAAACCCTGATTCTAAACCAATAGTGCACATGGGCTCTAGGATCCTAAGGAAACTAATAGCATATGAACCTATTGTTGGTCGCCGGTTAGCATGGGACTGCATCTCTTTAAGTTGCTCTACTGCCTTGTGGGTTATACTTTCAAGTCAACGGCGAAGGCAAGATGTCCGTCTATCAATAAAAGGACGAGTATATTGCGCGGCAGTTCGTTCTGTTTTACTTTACAGCTGCGAAACGTGGCCATTACGAGTAAAAGATACTCGCAAGCTACCAGTATTTGATCACAGGTGCCTTAGAAATATTGCTGGGATCACTGGGTAAGTAATAGTGAGGTTGAACGCAGGATATTAGGGAATGATGGTAAATCAATTGATGAGGTTGTGAATCTTCATCGACTGAGATGGTTGGGCCACGTGTTGCATATGCCTGAAAACCGATTACTACGACGCGCAATGCTGACTAGTGTTGAAGACGGGTGGAAGAAAGTAAGGGGCGGCCGAATGAAAACGTGGCATCAGTGCTTGAAGTCACTAACGTCTAGTCTGAGCCATGTTGGTAAACGCAGACTACTTGGTTGGGGTCCTCGTGACTATCGTAACCAATGTTTGGAGATTCTTGGTGACATGGCTCAGAATCGATCACGATGGCGTAAGTGTATACACTCTCTGTCTTCCCTTAATCTGTGGGGTTAAAATTACTTTATATCTCCCTTTCTACGAACTAATTCTTCCTTCCTGTTGTATATTTTTGTACATAATTTTTTTTTATATGTTACTACCGTTGGAGTGACTACTTCTATGAATTTGGTGATCATCTTGTACTGATGAGGTGTGGAAACATGGACTGATGCGTATATATACCTGGTCCTACTTTGTAGCTGACTGTCACTGTCTTATTTCCAATGGTTATGTTACTTCTCTAAATAAAAACTCAAGTAAGCATATGATAAAGCAGTGGAAATATATTTTGGACACACGTGGAGTAGAAAAAAACAAGAAAATCACAGAATTTAATATACTTTGTTCCTTTATCATTCAGTTAAAAAAATCCAGATGATCTTAGAATGAACAGGTGTAATTATCTCCATAATAAACTATCTTCCATTTATTTGGAAGAAACAGACATTATTGTCGTTAATGTTTTGCAAGATTAGTCTACATAAGAAAATATTTCTCCTTAATTTACCTATGATTTGTTTTATTTTAGATTATTTTCTAAAACTTATCTGTGTTCGATTGGCAGTTTGTTATGTATTTAATGACTTTAGCGTTGTTGTACGTCTTAAGTTTGTTGACCTTTCCGTTTTGATTGTACTACTGTTAGTACCAGAAGTGATCTGACCTGAGGAAGCAGCAGATGATGATAGTGTATCTTTATTGGCTGTTAAGGATGTGTTCGATCTCAGCTGGAATAAACAAAATTAAGTCGATTTGTTAGACTTTATTTGGGAAAAATATTTATTCAGAATAGGTTTATGCATGTCTGAAAAAACAGGAGCACAAGTGCTGCTGAAACAATTAGTAAGATACAACAGTCAGTTGTCTAATGAGTCATTACTAAATATTGAGTAAAAGTTATCAAACTCATGAGATGATTGTAGGGAGGTTCAGTGTGTATATTTTCAATCTGTACTTATTGATTCATGATATTTCCATATAGCTGTAGTCGTAAGGTATTTGTCGACTCATTATTATCTGAGATATTTCTTGCTATCTATAAATTACCCTTAATTATTAATGAGTTTACTACTAAGCTTCAAGTCAATGATACCCTAGTTACGTGGGCATGACGGTTTACTATTTTTGATGTGTCGCCATCTGCGGGCCGTCGGTCAGTAGTGAATTGGATATCAGAGCTAATGAGCTGGTTAACATAGGAAATTCCCAATATATGACATATTTATAATAAAAGAGACACCTTAAGAGCAATTTAAGGTCATCATAAACGGAATATTATATACCAGTGTTTTATCTGAAAGTCGACTGTATTTCAGCGACGGATAATCTCGTAATTTTTTCCTCGCCTGTTGATGAAATGATTCATGTGCAGTGTTACAAAAAAATCTGATCACATTTTCAAATGATTCCAAACAACCTCATCAAAACTGGAATTCATAACTGTAAACTCCAACAAAGAAATATGCCAAATAACCAAACATACATAAATATAAGCTAGTCTTTATCATAATACGCTGACAATTTACACTCATCTTGGAAATCAGCAAGAAATATGGACATAGAGTAATTAAATGCAGAAAATTTATCATTAGTAGTTCTTTTCAACTGTATTTTGCTGTTAGTAATTAGATGTTGAGAAGTTCTAGACTTTCACGGACATAATCATTTAGTTCTGCAAAACTCCGCTACATCGTTAATAAGAATCACTAGTTAGACTGGATGATATGTTATACTTAACAGTTTTGGTGCTAGGAAGAATACTGGAGTAGGGATGTTTGATTTCAGCCTCATTGTTTCGGAGAAATTATAATTTTTGGGTTGATTTTGTTTAAATGAATCATCTCCAGGAAGTGAATGCACACCATGCCAAAAACGATTTTTCACTATACTTATAGTTTACAGTTTATTTTGATTCTTATAAATGTTGAATTAAGCTATTATAGAGAAAGTATGCTCCAAGTGACAGTTTTTCACATTGAAAAAGGTGTGTATTAAGAAAGTTAATTCATAAAAATGTGTACGTTACTCATGTCTTATTAGTTTAAAAACTTCATCAAGGTATAAAATAACGAGTCAATATGATTCACTTTATTCTTACTGCATAATATCAGTTGCGGAGTTTTCGGAAGTTACAGTTGATGTGGAAAACGATGACAAGCATAAATTTAATCTAGTGTTAGGTAATTAGATGGCGTTTGTAGGAAACCCTGGAGCTAGGTTTTTACCAGTGGATCCTCATCCCGAAGGCTTACCGAAGACTGCACATCAAATTCGATCACCACTGATCCTGGGTTCGTGGGATCGTGGATGCGCACTGCTGAGGAGTCCCGTACTAGGACGAAACGGCCGTCTAGTGCTTCCAGGTTTTCCATGGTGGTCTAGCTTCGATTGACTCATGATTTCAACTATCAAAACAATTTATTGGTGACGTATTTGTAAACAATTTTCCTTTCTTTTTTAAGATCTCTCTCTCTCTCTCTCTCTCTCTCTATATATATATATATATATATATATATATATATATATATATATATATAACTGAACATGCCTGTAAATTGGCACACACTGTGTAGTCATTTCCAATATATATATATATAAACCAGTAGTCTTGGAGAAATTTTTGACTGTAAATTAAATTTTAAGACTCAACTACCAACAATTATAATGCTCTATAAATTTGATATGCCATTAATCCTTATCCTTATTTTAGTGAATAAATAACTAATTACGTTCCATTTGAGATGTATAAGTACAAATCATATTTTCTCAGTAGAAAATATTAAACCTTATATAAAAATGAACGGTAATGAGTACTTACAGGTTGTTTTTGTAGTGAACTCATAGGTTTTCTTGCTGGATATGTGATACTGAAAAACATGGAAACAAAGTGATATATAATTTTACTATCCAGCTTTATTGTCAGTTGACCTTAATATTTATTAAATGAATATCTCCAATGTCACATAGTTAATTATGAATACTTGTTTATTGTAATTAGCGCACAATAAATTTATCTGAGTCCAAAGCTTAGTAAACTTACATATCCTAATGCGACATGTATGTTGACCGATTTCGGATTCTGTGCTAGATATTCCACTTTATAGTAAACGAACCAATAGGAAAGATATATAAATAGGTATTAGCAAACATTAATCACAATGTAAGTAACGTAACTACATTTAACAGTGGATATACACTTCCTAAAGACCCATGAATAATAAATTGTTAGGTTAATAATAAACAACACGTTTGACCAGAGAAATTCATAAATTTTATAGAGAGGAAACCACAACGAACCAAAAAATTTTATAATTCATATGGTAATTAGTTGTATTAGTATTAATCTGATCTGTCCTTTAACGTTAAAAATTGTGAACAGTCACTGATGAACCTCAAATGTGTCTAATGGGAATAAACATAAAAATAAGGACAACAAAGTTTTTAAAGAGAATCGCTTACACTGAACACGAAAAAGAAACTCATTTTTAACATGTAGAGTTCCATTGTCGTCGGTGGGTAGCTGCCTGTTATATCCCAATAAGTAGAAAAATTGTATTTCTGACGTTTCGTGATTTAATGTAAGCCACTTCTTCGGAGTAAATAAATTTACTCACGGGGATATAACAAAAAATATATTTAATATTAGATTTCTAACCAATTCTCAGTTTATTTGAAACTATCAAATCCAACCTTGACATTGATATCTGTATACAGCTATTGCTCTTATAATTGTATTATTATTTTAATAAGCCATGTCGAAGAATACTTAAATAATAACAAAGTTATTTTGTTTGTATACCATGGAAATAACTGAATATTTCACTCAACACTCCGGGAATATTACTACAATAAGTGAGTTTGCTAACAGTAATCGATAGTATTTAGCGTCCTTTGAACACAGTATGTTGCTTTCTGGAGAGACATTCCAATGCTTTTTGGCTAGATGTCACATTACTATAAACATTTGAATTACCTACAATTTAAATCACTTTAACTCATTTCATTTTCTTCATCGCCATGCTTTCTGCCATAAAATATCATTTGTACTGAGAAATTCATCATGAAGAAGTTACTATTATATAGATGCTTCATGCTATTCTGTGACGGTGAGACTATAATTTATGGATGAACCAATGAGATCTAGGATAACAGGCCTTGAATTTTGGTGCGAAATTCATTCATCTATATGGTTAAATATAATTTTGGTATTATAGATAATGTCAGTTCGTGATGAAAACCCTAACTTTAATTAATAACTCTAACTGTAAACCTTAATCCTATTTCCTCACACTAATTTATAATCTTTTGACCCTAGTAAGCAGGTGAGTTTTCTCAAGGTCACTTTAACACTGTCATCCATAAATTACAGTCTCATCACTAGCCTTTTTATAATTTGGTCTCAAGAATGTTAGTAAAAAATATGCTTGATTTACCCCCAGAATAAATTTATAATACAAAACTTACCTGGTACTAACTTTTGGTGAAAATAATTTCCTATTTAAATTAGGTACACTGGTCGATGAATTGACTGTCGTGTTTGATCTTGTATTATTATCAGTCGGATTAAGCATCTGAGAACTTTGTTGCTGACGCTGTATCACTTGTGAATCCGGTTTATTTGATGTTAATAAAGCATTTGATGCACTCGTTATTATTGCTGTTGAAGATTCAGGCGGGACATTTGAGAGTGAAGTTACAACTGATGAAGATCCAAGCATATTTGAAGTACCAGGCAATGATGCATAATCAGTAATAAAGGAACTAGAATGTGTAACGCTGGTAAATTCGCTAGGTTGGTTACTCATGGAACAATATTTAATGCTATTTACAAGATTATTACTGCTACCACTAGTACTACTACCAGTGTTATCCACAATATTAGGCGAAGGATCAGATGATGATGTAAATAATTTTGCGGGAAATTCATTCAAAGTTGATAAATTTCTGTTGTTTGCTGCATTAGAAATTGGATATTTATTTCTTATCCCAGTGAGTGATATAGATATAGACGGTGTACGTACACTAACCGGAAAATTTACAGATGGTTGTTTAGCTTTCTGAGCAGCTAACTCTACACGATTCCAGTAGGCTTGGTGTTTTTGTAAACGTTCAGTATTTCTATATTTAGTTTATGTTTTTTTAAAAGGAAAAAAATGAAATCCTAGCAGATCAGTACTTCTTGGTAATTCACATACTTTTCATACTTACATTTCAAACGATAACATCTAAAGAACTATGATATGTATATGCCTTTTAGGATATTATTTATTTATTATTTATTTGAACACATAAATACTGGTATAAGTGGGCACCAGATACATACATACACACAAATCTCATTTGATATGTGTGAGGGCTGTGATACTGCCCGGGTGCCCAAACTGAAGCGGGTGGTTTTCTCAAGGGGCCACAACCGAAGCCTTCGACCTGAAGGTCTGATCCACAAGGCAGTAGAGCATCGTAGAGAGATGCAGTCCCATGGTAGCCAGTGACCAAGAAATTGGTTCATACGCGATTAGTTCCCTCAGGATACTGGAGCCCATGTGCACTATTGGTTTGGAATCAGGGTTTTACAACTCCCCTAGGTGGACTGTCCATGTCCACCAATCCGGTTACAGTGCCGGACATTCGCTTTTCGTCCTCTCAATTCCGTAAACAACAGCCCCTTCTCACGGTTCATGTTTACAACATAAATTTGGTGCATTAATATCTATTTAAGTATATTTATTTGAATTTAGAATTTACTTTACTGAGAATAATTATTCAGTTATCATTTTATTTGAAACAATTGTAATAATGACAGAAATTAAGCAACAAACAAGTTTGATCCAAATCTCTATTTTCCCTGAATTTTCAAATTTAAGGCAGTAATCATTCCAATGGTTATTTATGTTTGACTAGTGCTTGATGAAAGACTAATAAATTTAAAAAATTATTTTAAAAGATCTAATACTTTACAAAGCCTGAGTTTTGTCATTATTTTAGTTGCACAGTTAGGTATTACAGAAGGGATACACCCATCCAAAAGAAAATCAGTAGCTAAGTTTTTATTACTGTAGATTATATTATGTACACAAAATAGTTAGACTTAATGAAAGACAAATAAATATTTTGTTTTCGTAAAAGTACTAATTCTGTGAGAAAATGTGAACACAGTTAACCATGACGTAATAAAAAGGTTATAATACTAGATTACGTAATACGAATAATAACAATAGATTTAGTGAATATAATAAGATGATTAAAATGTTTTTGTTATAATAATTAAAGGTCATAGAGGTGTAAAAAATAAATAAGGTAATATGATGAGTATTTACGAATAAAAACTATGAGAATATAAGACATAAGTAAAGGAGGAATGCAATAACAATAATAATAATAGAATAATCAAAATAATTAAGGCCAAGGTAACGATAGCGATAAGACGTACTTCTTTTGTACGCATAGTTCTGGTTTAAGCTCCTGAATGGTAAGAGCTTCGGCTATTTTTAAAAGTTGGATACTAAGGGATCTCTTTTCAACGAATTTATTATCAAGCTGTAATATCGTATATGTATCTATGACCTTTAATTATTATAACAAAAACATTTTAATCATCTTATTATATTCACTAAATCTATTGTTATTATTCGTATTACGTAAATAAATATTTCCCAATTTTTCTGTTAGTAACTCTAGTTAGATACATTACAAATACAACACATAAATGCAATTTCGAATTATTAACAGTAGAAATATTTATCATTAGGGATAACAAAGTAAACGTTTAATGCATTTCTATGACAAATAAGAAATTGGAAAAGAGAATTCTTGACTTCAGATGTAAATTAGCTAACAATATTACCTAGTATAGCAGATGCAAAAATAAGTTGTGTTCACCTGTTTCATTCACACAAAGCTACTAATGACGATGATAACCGTTTTCTTTACATGTATAATAGATTGAGTTGGCATTATAAATACTGTAACACCTAACTTATGACTCAGACTCCATTTTTTAGTCTTGAATGAACGATTATCATTTCTATAAAGTCTTCACCGATCATATAGTTTAAGTGTTGGAGTACTTTTTCGTATGGTTATATGATTTAATGGACAAATGAAATATTTTGCTGTGTACAGACCTAGTTGTTTTGAATTAATCTAATAATCAGTGACATTTTGAGAGATAGGAATTCAATAGATAAAATGTTGTTATCTTTTCATATCATAAAAATACAAAGTTATTATGACTGTATAACCTAATGTCTGGAATACGTACATTAGTGAAATTGTATGAACAGTTATAACTAAATCACTTACAGTCTGACAATCAGTAATATGAAATACAACTATCTGTTTATAAACAAACTACTTTTACTGAACGGTTTATTGGATTGTATATAACATTTCAGCAAATTTATAAGCGAAAGGGATAAATATGAATGCAAATCGAGAACTGATTAAGTCGTGAAGTTGAAATCCATTATATTAAATTCGGTATCTGAAAGGCATTGTAAAATACATTTAAGATTCCGTATGTCTTATGAATCTATCTTCAAATGTATCCTTGTTGTATTAAAGCCAGAAATTTGTATGTAAGTTGGTGTTTAAGTATGGTCAAATGTTATAAAACTAAAATGAGATAATTGTAGAATACTAATTTTTAAATGAGATTATTAAGTGATTTTGACTTTATTATTATCCTTTTCTCCTCTTACCCTTCATTCCTAGTCTAGTTGACCTTTTATTTTTATGTATAAATGTTCTTAACAAATTCATTATGTGTGATCAGATTGTTCGAAATGTATCGCGCTAATATATCACATAGTTCTGATATCCTCCATCTTCTTATTACATTATCGAAATTTATCAGAGAGACTAATTGCTTTAAATTTATAATATTCGTTTGCTTAAAATAAAAACTCTTACCTAAGTACCTTTATAAGTACCTTCCATTCATGACTAAATACATTGAATACAATTCTGAACAAAGCATTCAAATAGTCAGTTGCTTCTACAAACTTCTTTAAACATAAGCTACATCATTAAGATGAATGAAATTGTTTAGAGACAGATCAAAATGGATTATTTTATATTATTTTACCTTAAATAAAACCAGTACAATAAAATTAGATTTGTATTATCTATCTATGTCTATTGAAATTTATGCATAAACAAACCATTTTGAAGTAATTTGTAATACTAACTTTTTCTGTTCTTCTATTAACTTCGAAGAGCATTGTTCAACAAGTTTTTGATCGGTTTCAATTGCCCAGTTTAATACATTACAAATTAATCCATGAACAGTTCTAGAAATATAAGAAAAATATAATCTTTTATTATTTTGAACCGAAGTTAATAAAAACAAATATTTAGAATTTAAACTATTCCAAGATATTTCCTTAAAAACGTTTGGAACAGATTACCAGGCAAAACGTTGAATTTACTTCAAATTCTTTCTCTGAGGCTTTACAAATATATTCTTCCTCTTTAATATTCCAAGAATTATTTATTTATTTATTTGAACACATAAATATTGGTACAAGAGGGCACCAAATATATATGCGCCACACAAAACAATGAGAATTAAAAGAGAAGAGAAAGAAAAAAAGGAGAAAAAAAAAAAGGAGGGTAAAGAGCGTAAAAAAAGACAATAGCGAACAGATTAGTGTAAGGTGATGTAATAGTAATTATAATAGGGGAAACGCAAAGGTACACTCAGAAATCTTACATTTAAGGAGGATACAGCCACTTTTTATGAAGAAAGTAAAAGAAGGTTACAGCAGGATCGCCACTGGCTTCTATTCTGAGCCATATCTGATAACGCCTCTAGCCACTGTGTTACACCATCTCTCGAACCCCAGTCAGGGAGTCGTGAAGGACCAACACAAGCCAGCCCTTTGCAGCTTTCTTTCATACCACAACACCATGTCATACACTGACCACCTCTCCGCTTTTTCCAACCAGTCCCAGAGTCGGCAAATAATGCAAGACGTGGAATTCTCTGGGACGACATTCGTAGAACATGTCCAAGCCACCGAAGTTGGTGTTTCAAGATGGTGACACCAATTGCATTATCGTCTCTGTGCCCGAACACACGATGCCGAACCTCTGCATTACTAACATGGTGTTGCCACTGGATGTCAGCAATCCTTCGGAGACAGCGATGATCAAACACAGAGAGACGTCTAACGTCCTCAACTCGGAGAGGCCAGGTTTCACAAGCATAGAGCAAAACTGCTCTCACCAACGCGTTGTAGATCCAACCTTTTACAGCCAGACTAACATCACGAAGGCGCCAAAGATGGCCCAGATTGGCATAAGCCGCTCTGGCTTTCACTATACGTGCATTGATCTCATCACTCACGCCACCAACAGCACTTATGCAGCTACCTAGATACACGAACTTCTCGACTACTTCTATTTGCTCACCATCCAGAGTGAGTGCAGGATTAGAATCCTGCCAGTCTTGTAGAAGTACTTTGCACTTCGAGGGTGCAAAGCACATACCATACCTACGGACATTGATTGCCAACTAATTAAGTGCGGATTGCATGGCTTGGGCATTATCGCACAGTAAGACAATATCATCCGCATACTCAAGGTCGAGAAGTCTTTCTCCAGGCAACAGATCCATACCACCATTACTTACATCCATCAGAGCTGTTTCCAGAACGTCATCGATGGCAAAGTTGAAGAGGAATGGTGAGTTTGGGCAACCCTGCTTAACTCCACTGCTTGAATGGAACAATGGAGAAAGGTGGTTGTATGCCCTCACTCTGCCTGAGGTGTTTGTATATAGGGCTTTTAGGATGTTAATAAACTTCTCAGACACACCCTTCTTCAATAGACAATCCCAGAGAACAGTTCTGTCCAACGAATCGAAGGCAGCCCTGATGTCAAGAAGCACTACGATTGTTGGCCTTTGATAAGTATGACGGTGTTCTAACATTTGGCGGAGTGTGAAGATATGATTAATACATCCTTGACCGAAACGAAACCCAACCTGCTCCTCGCGAGTCAATCTTTCTCGGGTTTTGAACAACCTACGAAGTATAACGGAAGCCAATAGCTTGGACGCAATCAGAAGTAGACTTATCCCCTGACAGTTGTTACAGGAACCAAGTGAACCCTTTTTAAAGATAGGGACAACTATCGACTCATTCCATGACGTTGGTACACTCTCTAGTTCCCAGACCTTTGTAAACAACGTCGTCAGTTCCTTAGTCAGAAAGTCACCACCATCTTTAAAAATAGCCGGAGGTAAGTCATCTGGGTCCGGTGATTTGTAACGTTTCAAGAGTTGGAGTTCCTTGCGGACTTCCGCCTCATTTGGTGGATCAGTCGTCACCGGCCATGGAGGGCAGGGCAGTCTGGCCGATGTTGCCGGAGCAGCAGGCCAGTTGAACTGCCCATCGAAGAATCCGGCCCATCGTCCAAGACGTCGATGGATGTTAGTGATTGGCGTTCCGTCATCCTTGCAGATTGTTTCGCTCACACCAGACTTCTTGCTGCCAGTGGCTCGGATGAGTTGGAAGGGCTTCCGATAGTTACCAGATGCAGCTGCTGCTTCCAGCTCATTGACACGCTCCAACCACCAGGCTTCTCGGTCCTTACTCAAGCTTTGACCGATTTCATTACGTAACATCCTTCGTCTGTGGTCAAACTCACGGTCAACCGGAGTAGACCGACGGGCTTCAATCAGTTGTAAGGAACCAGAAGAAACCCAGTGCTTGTAAGCGGGACGTTTCGCAAACCCACAACAGACTGTACCCGCCATCTTCATGGTGTCATGCAATTGCAACCAATGCTCATCTATACTTTTCGGTGGAATGGTAGCTAGCCTAGAAGCTAGCTCGGTTCGGTACTTACTAGCAACAGAAGTTGCAACCAGCTTGCTGACGTCAATCCTTTGGTGGCGGTCACTTCGTTGGCTACTGAAAAGTAAGGTAAGATTAGCGCAGACCAGGGCATGATCAGATTCCAGATAGGTACTCCAAAAGGAGTGGCAGTCTTGTACACAACCACGGCAGCGGTAGCTGATCGCGATGTGATCAATCTGGGTCCAGGCTTGAGATGCAGAAGGAGGACACCAGGTGGCACATCGGAGATGACTGTGCCGAAAGTTAGTGCTAGCCAGAAACAGGTTGTGGTCTGTGCATATTTGCAGTAGACGTTCCCCGTTGTCTGTCCTGCGACCAACAAGTCCCCATCGGCCACCTAAACGACTCTCTTCTGTGCCTAGACGCCCGACCTGCGCATTCAAGTTTCCGGCTAGTACTACAATATCTGTCGAACTCACTTTCTGGAGAAGAACAGATAACTGGTGGTAGAATTCATCCTTGATTACATCCGGGATGCAATCTGTCGGGGCATAGGCGGAGATGACGAAAAGACATCGTTTCTCACGCCGATTTCTTCTCACTCTGATGGAACTTTCTAATCTAACAGCACATAACCGACTGTTAATGGGGATCCAGTCGACTAATGCTGCCTCAGCTCTAGCGCTTACTGCGACATCAACGCCAGTAAAACCAGACGAAGATAACACAGGGTTCCCGGATAAACGCACATAAAACAAGCTTTTTGAAGTGACAGATGGAGAGCGAATTTGTAGTACTTCACCAGAGTCTTGAATACGGGTCTCGGATAGACAACACACATCAATATTAAGACTTTCCAAAGACATAGCCAGACCTATCTGTTGTCCGACCTGCATAAGTGTGCGAATGTTGAAGGCAGCCAGTTTGAATGGTGCACGTGGTTTCAGAAAAACTGCTTCAGTACTCATATTCGGTAGTAACATACAATTTTCAACCAAGCAGTAACTTGGGAACGTTTAGATAGAGCCGAACGTCCACCATAGGCGAGCTGCTGTATAAGTTGAAAAATAAGTATACACAGAGTGGGAATAAAAGAGGGTGAATAAATGACGTGGTAAATAATAATATTAATAACAATGATAATAATAATAATGATAATGATAATGTGAATTGTTTGACGATAAATCGCCGCGTGAATAGAGTTTTCAGAGAACATCATCATTTGCACTATATTTGTGTGTGATCTGTGATACTGCCCGGATACCCAAACCGAAGCAGGTGGTTTTCTCAGGGGGCCACACCCCGAGCCTTCGACCTAAAGGTCTAACCCACAAGGTAGTGGAGCATCGTAGAGAGATGCAGTCCCATGGTAGCCGGTGACCAGCAATCGGTTCATACGCGATTTGTTCCCTCAGGATACTGGAGCCCATGTGCACCATTGGTTTGGGATCCGATTAAAGCGCCGGACATTCGCTTTTCGTTCTCTCATTTTCGTAAACAACACCACCACCATGAGAAGGCAGTGAGTAGGACATCCCTGGCAGAGGCTGTATACGCGTGGCCATGTGAGAGTATTTTGAGGGGGGATGGCGAACCCACCCCACTCTCTGCCAAACCAGGTCATTATTGATGATCATCAATTGAATTGTTTTGTGATATTTTTTTATAGGCCAGATGTATATTTATTGGTTAGGGGTTGTGGAGATTGTTAAGCTTTTGATTGGGATCATGAACCGATTCATGTTAGACCACCGATGGAAACCTGGAAGCACTGGACGGCCGTTTCGTCCTATTGTGGGACTCCCCGGCAGTGTCCATCCACGATCCAACTCGTGAGATTCGAACGTTTAATAATCTCCACAACCCCTATACTGATAATTAACATGTGCTCAATAGTGACTAGCTTCGTGAGGGAATTCTCGGAGTTCTGGTGAGAAGCTTTTACCAGTGGAGCTAATCCGCGCTGGGTAGATACAGGTATCTACCTCAGTACAATGGAAGATGGCCGCGCAATTTAGTGAATTGGTTGATGTTGGACACTAACACCACTGGGTACCGGTTCAGTGGTCCAGCATGTTAAGCGTTCCCGTGCGAGTTTGAAGGCCCTGCGTTCGAATCTCGTGGGTGGGATCGTGGATGCCTACTACCGAGGAGTCCCACAATAGGACGAAACGACCGTTCAGTGCTTCCAAGTTTTCAACGGTGGCCTAACATCAATCGGTTCATGATCTCAATCAAAAACAGATGTATATTTGTCCTGGCTAGTCATTTTTGTATTGTGTTTACCGATTAAAAGTTTATATACTTTGCTTTTTCCATACTGGTACTCCGAAGGTCGTTGATACTATACGTTTTTCTAAACTGAATTAGGTAGAAAGGGATTCGAACCTGTGACTTTTTGGTCAAAAAATGAGTGCTTTAACCACTAAACCTACATATTTTTAAGGGAAATTATTTAATAATTTTACTGACATTAAACTTGATAAGATTAATTAATGATTCTTTTTTTGATATAAAGTGTATATTTTAAGATAATTTAAAAAATGAAACTTGTTATCCACCAATAGTACAGTTTGCTTTGCTATAATTTGAGGTCGTACAAACTAAAATGAATTTTCTCAATGTGAAATTGAACGATGGATCTTTTAATCTGTTATTAGGTTCTTTATCTAGAATTTGTAAGCGACCACAGAAAATAGGAACTGTGCTTCAAAGCCTTCGTCATTTATCAACAATTAGAATCTTCATATGTCTTTATTCTACATAATTATTTGAAACTAACATTACAGCATATCTTACATAACAGTCATAATTTTTCTGAAATTTATCGGCTGTTTATATATTCTACTACTTACTTATTCCAATGATTACGTGATTGTGCCAATGAGTTAAAAATAATGGGCAATACTTTGTCTATGTTCTCTGACATTAAAGAAAGTAGATATTCATTATTCCAAAACATGAGAGCTCTTTCAGAAACCTATAAAATAAACAAAAAAGATGATAATTTATCATTCTGTTCTATCGAACTGTATTGTTATTTAGGTTTACGCGTAGATAATTGAATCTATGATGTTAGTTTTGAAGACTATTACGTATAAATGCAATTTCCCTGAATGTTAGCTTAAAGCAAGTGAAAAAAAGCATAAAACTTCTCACATTAGTAAATTAGTGCAAATTGATATTTATAAAGACTCTGTACAAAAAAACTAATATCTTGTAAAAAGAAATCTCTATATAAATTGATTTTTATATTAGGTTACCTACTTGAAAATGCAAAGATTCTATACATTTAGCCAAACGTGGAAATATTTCTGGTATGATTGCTTGAAATTCAATTGGTCCTGTACATTCAAGGCAAGCTTCTAGTTCATTTAGAAATAACATTTCTTTAATTGAATTTGTTCTAGGCCAAAATCGAAGTAAACCATCATGAACAATCTAAAAAAAGAGTTTATGCATATTCACGTATAAAAGTTTTAACAGTATCTCTGTTTTAGTTATCGTAGCCGGTGTGCGAATCGGCATATTTGTAAAGAACAAAACTAGTAAGTAAGTATTCTAACTGTTATAGTTAGTTTCTAGGATATGTTTTCTTTCTAACTGTGCTAATATCCCTGAGTGTTTGCTCTCACCATTTTACAGGAACTGTCCTGATAGCTAAAAACTTAAGTATTTTGTTTTGGCTAGCAATATCATTCACCCTAAAACTAGTTTTTTTATATGTATGTAGTTTAGTATATTAGAAAACCCTCATTTTTTTTATTACTATTGAGTACAATCATACGTTCTTTGTTTTGATTTACAAACTAGAGAGTACTACGAACGTAGTTTTATGTAATGATGTATGGGAATAAATATTATTTTATGTTAATATAGAAGGTAATTATGAAACGAAAAGAATATACACAGATGAATTACTAAATATCTACCAAGTTTTAGTGAAATCACAGTAAACACTGAGATATTTAAATTCAAACTTTTGTATAAAATTCATAATTGATTATAGTGTAGCCCAATAATTATGATTATTTCTTTCAATCAATACTATCTTTCTACATTGTTCTACATATTAAGTTTATACATTTAATAACAAAGAACCTGCTTGGTACGGGCACCCGGGAAGTATCACTACTTCACTAATCAATTTTCCATCTCTGTCTAATAGCTTATTCCTAACCCTGGTATCGCTCACTTGGTGGCCCTAAGATGCACACGGCTATTTCACTCTCTATTGTTAATTCAGGCATTGAGGCAGACCAATCCTAAAGTAATATTTTACATTTAGAGGGATAAAAATGCGTTACAAGAATGTTAGTATTATTGCTTAGTTTGTTTAGAGCATTGCATCTTCACCAAACATGACTATGTCATCTGCGTATTATAAGTCAACAATAAAATCTCCTGGAAGACCAGTTATTGATAAGTTAAACAATGAGCGTTATTTCTAAAAGAATGTCTATGACAGAGTTATATAAAAATGGGGAAAGTGAACAACCCTGACGAAAAACACTTGAGGTAACCTATGACAGTTTTCCATAAGCTCTGACTCAGCCAGCAGTCTTCGCAGAGAGCCTGCACAGTGGTAATGTTCTTCTTTGGTACTTTTCTCAATACCATACTGTCACAAAACCTAACAATCAACGGAGTCGAATGCCATCTTAAGGTAAAGGAACACAACTATAGTGAGATGTCCGAAAGTATGTCTATGTTCCAGAACCTAACGAAGAGTGAATATTTTGTTCATAAATTCACGTCCAGTTCTGAAATCAACCTGGTTTTCTCGGGTCTGCTCTTCACGAGCTCCAGTTTGGCGTTGGAGTATTATCGAGACTAATATTTTAGACACTATGTTAGTTAAACTGATTCCTTTGTGATCGTCACAAAGGGATTTCTGTCCTTTCTTATAAACTGAGACGATCAGCGATCGAGATCTGTCAGATGGGATAACGTCCAGTTCTCAAATTTTAGCTGATACCTCAGTTAATTAAACTGGTAGAAATGGACCACGGTCCTTAAAAATCTCTGGTACCTGAAGGTCAGTTAAGCTGTTCTTTAAAATGTTCTGCACATCGGTCCGATCTACTGAATTGAGAGTGTATAATAGTCTCGTCTTTCTCCGAAACAACTTCACTAATAGCAGGATGCTGAATACCTGTTTCCTTGAAAAGTCCAAACAGTTATTTATCACTATCTATTGCCGTCGAAGGTTTAATGGCTTTCTATAAAATTCATCTCTAACTTCATGTGACCTACAATAAGTGGAAACATAGACAGAGAAAATAAAAAGGCAACTGCGTGTATCCCTATCTCTTCAAGTTCTTACTGTCCCGCTTGTTTGGACAGAGCACAAGCGACTGTCTATTGGAATCCAGTCTAACAGAGCCTGTTCTACTTTTTAACGTAACTCTTTACCTACACCAGCAGGGAGCTTCAGATACCCGAAAGGTAAATCATGTCAGTTTTTTATAATGACGGGGTGAATTCGGATGAATGACCGTACTTGGAACCTGTCTTGCGCGGCCTTTTTATGGGAAGTGTTTGATGTGTTATCTTCGCAACTCGAAAAGCCTTACCACTGGAGATGGAAATCTGTGGGGTAAGGTACTGTGTGATATTATTAGGGTCGACATTTTACAAACCCTTCCTTCTGCTGTGGGAGGGCAGCATTTCTGCAAATGTTGGTTATTCGAGAGAAACACTTTACTGCTGTCAAACCTCCCTTAAGTCAACAGTACTACTTCACCCTAAGGCCTTAGGTTTCCGATCTTACTCCGGTCGTACTCCAACTGACCTGCCTGGTATGATAGGTCACAAAGGTACATATATTCCAGCTAATATAGCTCGTTTAAGTCATTGCGATAGTTTAGCCCGATCACCTCGTCAAGAAAACAGCTACGGTTGGGTCATGTTTTTAGATTTAAAGAAACAGTTTTCTCAGATCTTCTCTGATGAATGATGTTAGGCAGAGATTTTAAGTACGAATATCAAATATTCATTTTCAGATATATATTTTTTATGAACATGTAAATTCTCAAAGAATTAACAATTACATGTTTTAGTTTTGAGGTAACTGATTTATTAAATACTAGGCATTTACAGGGTTCTAAAATGATACATAAGCAGTGTTTACTTATCCATTACCAAGATAATTTCTCCAAAGAGACTTTTCTTAAAGGTTTCACGTTTTTCACTTGGCCAAAGACCAGAAGTGACCTTCAGTATTAGCTATATGATTAGTTAAGTACAAAATCATTTCTTACATGGGCTAGATCATAGTTTAAGTTGGAATTAATTTAATTTCATTGTTATTTATTATTTCTTCTAATTTATCAAATGCCTAATAGTTACAACATAGCAAAATGTATATGTACTCTTGAATAAATAGACTTTTACCCCTACAATATGTACTTACCACTGTGAATAAACTGGAATCTTTTTTAATAAATTCAGTTGTACAATAAGTTAGTTGAGCATGAAAATGACTCATTGTTGGTGACTTGTGTAAAGGAAGTAAAACTCTACGTAAAAATTGTTTATGTTCTTCTTTCAATGGTGTTTGAAAACCATTTATAATGCTAAAATATAATACACAAATAATAGTTAAACTTATATTTCAGTTAACGATTGGTGATCAGTTCTATAATTTAAATATAGTATTCATTACTGAGTTAAGTAGTTTTCTAAGTAATGATAAACCAAATTACACTTGAAAGTTGCAAAAATCATGTCGTACTTTATGTCTCCACACAAAAGTCATACGATATCATGTGTTATGTCGAATGAATGATAATGAAATTCCCCTTTCAATAAATTACAATTGAAATAGATTTCGTAAGACTTTAAACTTATAGGCCCAGTTATGTAATACGTTTTACAAGGGATAAAATCAACGATTAACTTTAAACTAGAATTCAACATCGATTTGATACTGTGTTTGTGAAAGAAATGAGAACTATTCAAAATTGATGCTCTTGGATTACTTCAGTGAAAGCGATTATTATGGGAAGAATCAACGTGTGTAGTCCTTTCTAAAAAGAGGAGAAAATCGACTATATGTTATTGCTAGACAAAATTGAAGAGAAAAAGAAAGTATGATGATTCCAATGTTTTTTGTATCTATTTAACCTCACTAAAGTTTGTGTTCTAGAAAACGGAAATATTAAACTTTTTTTGTTTCATAGATGTTGATAAATTATTAATCGATAATGTCAAACCTTTGCAACAGTATAAAAGATTATTATCTCCTGTGGAACTGGTATTATTTTGCAATTTATCCAAGTGTTGATTTCCTAAATATTATTTATTTCTTCATACGAAAGGCTCATATAAATGAATTCAAAAGCAGATGTTTATTTCACATTTATGATTTTCTACCACTGCCACTGCCGAAGCAACATTAAAATCCACTTAAATTCAAGCAAATCTAATTTGAGTCATAGACCTCACTATTAATGGTAAAACTATTATGATATCTTGGTCATCAAAATATAGATTTAAAAGTATATGTAGGACCTACTTAATGGTAAGTTGATTCTCAATAACTTAATTTTACGTAGCAAAAAGTAAAAGAATAGAAATCTAATAAATAACTGTTTTGGTTACCAAACTTTGACATTAAAAATAAAGTGGTTGAACTGATCATCCACCTTAATAATCTTGGAAACCTAATCAGTCTTGATGGATTGGTATTTGACATAGATTCTGAAAGTTTGTTCGGCTCTCAAAAAAATTAAGTCACTTGTGACTAGGAGAGATACTCATCTACTAACCAAAAGACAAATATACTATACAGCAATCTGCTCTGTTCTTCTTTACGGCAGCGAAATGTGACCTGTTTTAATTTATATTTATGAAACATGAGTATTAAGAACGGAGATAACCCATAGGTTACTAATATTTGATTATAGATAACTACGAAGCATTCCTCACCCATGTTTCAGTCAGTCAGTCAGTTACAACGTAGGACTAGGCACATACATGCATCGGTCCAAGTTGCCACACCTCATTAGCACAGCAAGACGAACATCGGATTCATAGAAGCAGTTAACTCAATCGTGTAATAAATAAAGGAAGGATTTTATGTAAGGATATAATACAGGAAGAAAGAATTAGTTCGTAGAAAGGAAGATATAAAACGAAGACAAAGAGTGTATATACTAACGCCATTGTGATCGTTACTGAGCTATGTCACACAGAGTCTCCAAACATTGGTTACGATAGTCATGCGTACCACAACCAAGTAGTCTGCATCTATCAACATGGCTAAGACTGGAAGTTAGTGACTTCAAGCACTGATGCCACGTTTTCGTTTGGTCGCCCCTAACTTTTTTCCAACCATTCTTAACACTAGTCATCATTGCGTGTCATGGTAATCGGTGTTTAGGCATACGTAACACCTACGTTTAGTCTACTAAGTAAACAGTTTTGAGGCTAGACACGGGAAGTCAACAAAGATGTACCAGCATAATCTCTTTTAAGAAGTTGTTTGCTCACAAATAAAAATCTACCTCAGGAAATGAGTATGCGTTTAATACAATACAGTCGGTTTTGAATAAAAGCAGATGAAAGGTTATGTCTAAAAATCTTCAAGCATAAGGCGAATTATTCTTTTCTGGAATGCAGTTTTAACATTTTGAATGTTTTCTGTCTAGAGAATAACACTTTTGACTTTTCACTACAAATTACTTACCTTCCAAGTATTTCAAGGAGTTCAGCTATTCCACAATGACCCTCTTCCTCGTAAACAAATCTGAAAGGCATTAAATTAAGCAAGTTAATTAATAATGACCTTATATGTCATATTTAATTACATGGAAAGTATGTTTAGTGCAGGATAATGTACTATTGATATGGATTACATTAAGTCAAAAGGTTTATTTTCTCAGAAATATTAAACGATCCAAAATAATTACGCTGCAACGTCGAAAGGATAAGCATATTATAATTTAAATGGTATTTTTATCATAAACTGGACGGGTTATAATGATTGAAAACACCTCATTTTAATGAGTTTCTATAATGTTCTTGGCCGTAAAAGCTGGAACCTTCTGTTCAATATACAACTCAGTTATTATGAATTTTCTCGTATGCTTATGGGAATACTGTCAGAAAGTTCATTTTTTAGTTTATTATCTGGGTTTTCCAATTCCAAACGATTGATCTACATCTTAATAAACATCCCTTTCTTTCTGAAATAAAATTACTTCTGTGTTTTAAGCCAAGATTTAAACTAGTGTTAATAAGTAAACCCAGTATAACATGCTAATAGACTGTCAGTATCTAGAGTGAAGTTTCTGAGTAAAAACACCTTAAATTCATGATAAATAATTTGAATTCATTAGGGGTTGATATGATTTTTGTACCATAGTCAATAAGAATTGGATTTGTTCTTAACCTCTATCTAATTCCCTTTTTTTGACGGGAGACTTTAACCAGTCCCATCAGTTCAGCTCTTAAAATCCTTATATTATGACAACAATTAAGCACTCTATATATTGTGACTTTTCTGCCTTGGCAGCTTGTTCTATGTTTTGGGATTAAATAATTTTTATTGTATATCCAGTAAATGAATGTGGCAATAATCGGAAACATATTTATTGGCTTATATAAAAAAATTAGTTTTGTTTGTCAAGATGAAATGATCTTGTATGGTCCTATTACAGCTTATCATATGAGTTTCTCCTTACAAATCTGATATCTCCAATCTACAATAGCACTTTTAGAACCTATAATCACATGGTTATCACTTTTATTTATTATTCAAATTCAACGTCTTTAACACACAACCTCACAGATATCTGACAAGAATAGTTTAACTTGGAAGTTAATCTATGGTTATGTGTTATTTCACTTTGAAAATCTTCCGTAATATTTTATCAAACTTTAATGGTTCTTATAGTAAATTAGAGGGAGAATATGAACTGAATGTAAATTAAAAACAAAAAATCTATTTACGATAACAATGTATCTGACAAAAAAAGTTTCGAAATGAACTATTCTGTTATTGGATACATTTTCTAATAACTTACCGAAGAAATATATTATTCATCAAACGTCTAATAAATGGTCTCAAAGTAACAAGTTTACCATATGCACGATGAAGTATCATTTTGACTAGTTCTCGTTCACGTGGATCTTCAGATTTAAATAATTCCAAAAGATTTTTAAAAAATTGTTGGTCCAAATACTTTTTCCCTAATGAAGCTTGAAAATCAGGTGAACTAATAAAGCGTAGAAATAGGTCATAGACTAACTAGAGATAATAAAAGAAATAGAGAGATGTATAATGTATGAAAAACTTTTTAACCAAACTGAATATTAAAAATCCGTTTATAACAAAACAAATTTTAGTGAAGTTAATTTATGAATTTTAATACATTTACCCGACTTCTCTTCTATTGGTTTGTGTTCATTTAGAACTAATATATTTTATGTAGTCTTACACTATATATCAGTATATTTAACTTATACTATGGTAAAGCTGATATCATTTTTAAGTAGACCGAATATTATTTCTGATTATATTTTGAACTGCTTAAAGTAAAACACGAAAATTAGTGTTCATTCAGTTATTTAGTTAGTTAGATCATAAGCGCAAAGTTAGTTATTTAGATGAGTTAAATGATAGACTGAAACAGCCAGATGAACAACTGGGAAACTTTGTAAATATATTTATAATACAAAAAAATGTACCGAAAGAATATACATTCTGACAAATTCTAATTATTGTTACAAAGAGGATAAGGATGTTTAGAGCAAATAATTCTTTCAAATTTGCAGTATATAAATTTAGGAATAAGTGAAGTTAGAATTGTGGCTAGTAATGGAATCCAAGATCCGGTCTTCGTCCTGTTTAGGGCTCAACAGCCAGGTTAACCTGTATTCCAGTCCTGGTGTTCACACTACAATTTTCTATTAATGTCAAACTGGCTAAAATAAAACTTTAACTTCAATAAGCTCATGAGTCAAATTAAGTTACGGGACTAATAATCAGAATAAATGCAGTGAATATAGGGAGGAAGAATGTTTAGTGGAAGACTACATAATGTATAGAATGTTGTAGATTAGGTAAGATTTGCTAGATTGAACTATGTGGTAACTAAATGTAAGGTTAACAATAATAACACTAATATTTAAGTATGATAAATATAGCAGAATAATGAATAAGAACTTTCGTCTAAATTTGATCGAATAGTTTCACAGTATTTGGGTACCGAGTTGATGTGAGAGATTAAAGAGGAAGAATTTATTTGTAAAATCTCAGCGAATGAATTTGAAGTAAATCCAACGTTTCGCCTGGTAATCTGGTCTAAGCTTTCGTTGAGATTTTACAAATACATCCTTCCCCTATGATAAATAGATTTATGACATCAAAAGTGGAAGACTTTACGCATGAAAAACACGAGAATTTAAATGCAGAGTGTATGAAGTAATAAAATCCATAAAAAATGTTTTCGTATCGATGATGTTTTGTTTTTTACATAACATGCAAGTTAAATGCAGACATCTCGTTTGGTCATTTATGTAGCATTCCCAATGAAGTATATTCGGGTAGTGTTATATTAATTATGTAAAAGAAAATTAAAGTAACTTTGATCCTCAAATCATTTTCTGCCTTATAGTATAATCAAATAAGTTTCCCAGTGATAACTTTCGTGCTTTTTTCTTTACAAATTTTAAAGAGAAATCACTACATGAATTTCAACTTGCATTGAAACACTACACTGATTCCATTTTACATATAACTTAAATTTTAGTATTACTTTGTATTATCAACGAACATTGCCTTTATTCTATTCTTTCTATTAAATATCAAGATAATTTTGTTATATTATAATTATCCATATTCGGATAAAGAGAATGAGTCGATTCAATGATAATTCATCTAAATGTTTAAGTTAATTTCAGTCTTATTCCAGAATAATCAGTGTAGTGAAGGAATCACATGATTTATATAACAATAAAAATTTTGTGTGACGTAATTCATTTTTGTACCGTTTAAAATAAGTTACTTCACTATTATACCTTCAGTAAGTTAATGAAATTACTTACCTGAAGATGTGGCCAGGATGGTTCTAAATTAGAAACCTGTTCATCATCATTATCAGCATAGTCTGACATTTCTGTATTTGTATATATTGTTGCTATTGTACGGAAAGCATTTAGTTTTACTAAGTTTATAATGCCGACATAAACCGGTTCAGTGAGAGAACTAGAATTTATTGAAATAAACTCAGCGAGCTCTAACAATGTTAGTCTTTTAATTTCTTTCGACTTTAATTGAGCAGTATTATTGGTGAAATCGAATAGAGTTGAACACATTCTTAATTTACTCAACAGTAATGTCTCTCGTTCACCAGATGGTGTCTCTAGATTTAATGAGAAATTCGTAAAAAAAAATACCAAATATAAATTTGGTTGAATGAATAGTGAAAATAAAAATGCTATTTGTGTTATTTTAGTATGACGGTTTTGTAAATGAAAGTCATTCTGTTAAACCTACCTTCCAACGAGAAATATTTCAGTGTTAAGTCAAGCATTAGCCCCACCAGATCAATGATAAGTAAAGAGCTCTGGTTTTCAATAGGTTTTTATGAGTGATTCATAAAAGTAAAGCCAAAATGATTTTTGTGTAAACATTGAAGTGTTTACTTCCTGAAGTCAAAGCTTAATAAAAATTTAAATAAGAATAGCCACTGTTTAACCTTTTAGAATTTCTTACTTTCTTTTATGATTGAATGGAACCATTGAGTCAATGAATAAAATTCAATTTGGTAAAAAATGTCTTTTGAATATTAGTTTGAAATAGATATATGGTATTTTCCCAAAAGTAATGAGATATCACATCTAACTCAATGTAATTAGCCTTCGAATATATTATTACTAACATTGGGTATTAAGATATGAATATATGAATGCAACACATGCAAAAAATCTTAATTCCACTAGAAGTGGTAATTTAAAAGTATTTTATGGTCACTTACAATGTAAATTTGTTCATGAAGTACTTTAAAGATTTTCGAGGAAAGTTGGTCAATTATTAGTCAAAAGGTATAAGAAGAATTTCTACTTAAAAATATGTGTGAAACATAAGTGAAATGACTGCCGAGATAACAGAATTATTTCTGTGAATATGAATTGTAACTATTGCTATCGATGACAATGTTGGACTTGATACTTCCGAATAAATTAAATATTGGATAGGAAGTTAGTAACAAACAATTTTTTGTCATATCCCAATGAGTAGAAAAGTTGTGTTTTTGACGTTTCGCAACTAACTGTAAGCCACTTCCTCAGGGTAAATAAATAACCGAAATAAATTAACACACGTTTATTTCGGTTGTTTATTTACTTTGAAGAAGTGGCTCATATGAAGTCACAAAACATCAAGAATACAATTTTTACTCATTGAGATACGACAAAAACATATTAATTATGAGTTGTAACATATTTCACTGGATACATATATGAATCTACTTAGATGTAGCCAGCCCATAAATAACATACTTCTGTTATTCGCTTTCACTATAGCCAAGAAACGAGTGAGGAGTCAACATGTCAATAAATTTTTCATGCAAATCATAAAAAACTCACCAACTAACAAAGGTAGCGCTTTCAATTCATCATGTGACACATTTACGAATCGAGATGATAATTGCCTTGGTGGCTGTGGAGCTGTAGCTATTCGATCGATATCTTGCCGTTTAACATCATTCTGCCGGAATTTTCTTCCAAGTGAAACTGGGGATAAACTGGATGCCGCTCTCGAGAATTCAGGCACAGGACTTGGTGCGTGTGGGAAACTTGTTATTGAGTCATCACGATAGTTCTCACCCTAAAACAAAAGTAAAAACATTAGCTTCAAGCTCATTTGTTTTTTTACTATTTAAAACTAAAGAACTCAATACATACTTGAACCTTGAAAATCCTTAATGAGTTTTATAAATTTTAGGTCTCTCAGATGAACGACTGGTGATTTCAAAACAAAAGGTACCAAGGGATGACCTTCATTTAGTAACACCCAAACTAACCAGCATTTGGTTCTACTTGATAAATGAATACTAGTCTATCGCTTTACTTGTTTAAGTCAGATTTTCCAACTTCACACATAACACTGGGATCTAAAATGTTGATACGTTGTCTTGATGATAGAAATAGATGACGTCACATGTTTCATAGCGTTTGGCATCATTTTTTATTACTGATTTAGTATGAGAACCATGTCGAAACGATCAGTGTTCATAATCCGAAACAAGCAGTTTTGAATAAAATCGAGGCTATCTTTAAATTCAGGTGATAACGAATAGAAAAGACTAAAATATGTTAACATTATGTGCAGTTATGATAATCATTTTCAGACGCTTGAATTAAAGTTTATTTTTACCACAGTTCAATATCTGACTTATTCAATTACACTGACATTTATTCAAATCGATGATTTATATGACTGCAATTTAGCATGTTACGAAGCTAATGTGAATTATGTTAGGTTCTTTATTATTAACTTTTAACTGATTCAGTTCCAAAATTCACAACGTATCAGTCTTTATCAACACTAAAGATTAACATGTTGGTTGTATGTAACCTATACCTTGTTCATTATGTGAACCATCTAGTATTCTGTCTTCACATTCACATCTGGTTCATCAACTTTACATGGGTTATTTTATAAAGGGAAGGCTCCACGCTGATAAAAATATATAAATGTTAAAAATATTTTGAGTTTTTTCGTCAATATAATGTACCCCAAGAGTGTTATCTAAAGTAAAATTGTTCACAAATGCTAACTAATTCCAGCCACACTGACATAAATCATAATTTGTTAGTATATTTAAATAAAAAGGCATGAAATGATTCGCGTAAAAATAAAGCAAATTTATTTTGTTCGATTATTTCTACAGACAAGCAGTACATAAATAATATTGAAGACCCATTTCAAATCGTGGGATAGATGCTAAACAATCAGTTAAATATCTTGATGAAAGACAAAACTGTCACAAAGTATTGTAAAAAAATGAATACATGACAGATTTTCTTTGCTGTTGAATTCATATAAGCCTTATTATTTCCATCTTGAAGATCATTCAGCCTACGTACTTACATAATTTCTAGTTAGATTTGACATTTTCTTTACTAATACCGATTTCTTAATTTTTCAGACCTCGATAATTTTCCGCATTACCATATCTGAATCAATATCCTTTTTATTGTTAAAGTTCAAACTCTTACTCTCTCCATATTTATTTAATTCATGGTATTTGAGTAGGAGCATTGATTAGGTTAGGCTGAAGTGGCTACAGTATGCTGCATAGATATTTAGATAAATCATATGTGAGAGAAAAATTACAATGAATATTGAAAACGTACAAAATTGAAGCTTTCTATAGGACAACTAACACTCTAAGAAATGCGTTAGACAGAATAAAAGATACGATCGCGTTCACTCTCACACAAAATTGTGTCTACAGATTAGGTTGTGTCGATTGTGATGCATTCTACGTTGAGGAGTCTTCGCATGATATCTCAACTTATACCAGTATATCATACTGGCATTTGGCTTCTTTAATTTGTATTTCCTCTTAATTCCAGTTCGATCGATTTTAAGTGTTATGGTTTGCTATCCTGACGTATAGATAGCAAACCATAACACTTAAAATCGATCGAACTGGAATTAAAAGGAAGTACAAATTGAAGAAACCAAATGCTAGTATGATAACGTTGATACTACTTAACATATATCGTCAGGTTTGAATGTAATGATCAAATGACAAAATTCCTCAGAAAAATTTGATTGTGTTGATCTCTGCTTTATACGAACCCAGTAGTAATTATCGATGAAGAGCCCCAAAAAGCAATACAATGTCTGACAAAACGGCCCAATTTTAGTTATTTTTGATATGATTATGGTTTATTTGTCATTTAGCCTGCTGGATGAAGAATCGTTTAATATGTAACACTCAAACTATCTTCTACTCACAAAAATTTCTTTCTACTCATTATGTGTGGTAAGCAAAATATGCAATCTATGTTTCAACAAAGAAACATAAATTGATAAGTATATTTCTTGTCATATCCTAATGAGTTAAAAAGTTGTATTTCTGACTTTTCGTAATTTAACGTAAGCCACTTCTTCAATTTAAATAAATAACCGAATTAAATTACCATGATTTTAAATAGTACAAAGGAAACAATGCAAAATATTTTTGGCACAATCAAAATCATAATAGATCTAAATATTTCAGACATAAACATTTTCACCTTTTAGAATTTAAAATACATTGTGTATTCATGGATAAATTACTCAGTTTGTTAGCGTTATGCGATAAATTCTTAACTGTTTGAACGTTTTTCATTATGAAGTTCAAAACAATAGGTTAGCGGAGGCATTGAGTTTATTGAGAAAGTTGATTTAAAACATTGATAGATACTGAGCTAAAATAAACAAGTGGGTTGTTCCGGTCCATTAACGTACATAATCCATAAACAGAAGCTTAATTACTCAATGAATAACACGAGTGGGTCTGGATGAATAAACTGGACAGTGTAACAGCTTTTAACTTAAAATTACGAAAGCAAAACACTTTATTGTTGTTTATCCACGAATCAAGTTATGGAAAGACAACTTTATTAAAACTATGTCGAGTGGTAGTTTAAATTATAGAACATTTATATATGGAACAGCAAAAGCTATGTTTTCTGAAATAAACTATTTTAATACTAATTAAACTGAGTTGTTCTGATAAAATTTGTCAGAACATCTACTAGCTACGATCGTGATTAGTTATTTACCAAATTATACCCGTTATCATTTGTGAGGCATAGGTCACCGACCATGAATCTACAACCTGTTCTGTCCTGACCCATTTTTTCCAACTGTTCTCATGGTTTCTTGCAAGTATTTAGTAACTTGTTTTCCTCTATCAATCGTTAAATCACTTCCTGCATGGATGGACAAATAATTATTCTCGTTTTCTTACGACACTATACGGAGGATAATATGATGCATGTCTAATAAAATAATTTAAAGTTATTCACTTTGATGTATCAAGGTAAACAATTTATGAGCTCCTCGTTTGTGTTTGTCTTCTTCTGGAAACTAAGGTATGGGCCGTAAAAGGACAGGCCGAAATACAGGCTACATTTAGTGTATCGTTGACTTAACGATACCTTTTTAATTTGTAATACATTTAGCAGGTTAACATAGATCTAAGAATGTGACCTGGTAAAGACTCCAAATGAAAATAAGGATCTCATGAATTCGTTGTTGGTCGCAACTTAAAAAATAAAAACCACCGATTTACTCACTTTCATATCTTTCAGAGTGTCATAACAAACGTTGTACTATAAATGTATATTTATAAGTCCAAGTAATCACACCACATTAAAACAGTCAGAATAAGTTATTTAAAAAAATAAGAGAGAAATAAGTAGTATAATCAGGGGTAGCGTAATGTATCAGGAATAGATAACAAATATCTATGGCGAAGAGGTTTTCGAAGAATAAAAGGTTTTTAGTTGCCAGCTTTAATAAATAGATAAGTTTACTGCTAATCATTGTGAAATGATGCTTTATTTCACTGATGCGACAGACAGTGACTTAGACAAATGTAAAATGTAAGTACTGAGAACGATTTAAAGCTTAGAAACGGAATAACTTCGGTCAGATCGTAAAAATAGGTAATAACGATTAAGTATAAACAATATTAAAGTGTAAAATAAAAAAATGGCTAGAAAGTCTGACTTCCTCATAGAGTAAATATATAAATATATAAATCATGTATATGTTAATTTTGAAAGTAATTTTAACTGTTCCTTACTTATTTTACCTTTTATGAGCTACTGTTTAAGACTGTTAAAAAGTATTAGAAAAGAAGAGACCACTTGTGGGGAATACACCAACAAAATGCAAAAACGACAAAAAATCAGCACTTTAAGTCAAATTAATCTTCTGAAAGCCTTTTTTTAACAATATGACGCGAAATGAAGTTTCTTAAACATCAATGTTTTAGATCAGGAAACCTCACTAGGCGCGCCATTAAATCAAATGTGGTGACTTTTTCCTTGTTGACCTGCGTTCGCCATGTATTGACGAACTTATACACAATTGTGTTTAAGCCACGTTAAATGCTGTGTTCGTCCCTGATAATAAACACATATTGACGATTCCATCTTGACCTACGTACAAAAGTGTCAACAAATTTTGTCTTATCTGAAGTTTCAAAGACTTAATTAAAAAACATACGGAATTTTAGCTACGGGGTGGCTTATTTTTACCTTTTTCACATCTTGTTTGGGTTTTAAATAGCTTTTTTCATTTCTTTTCATCTGAATTTATTTTTGAAAAAACGGGTTATTTGTTCACCCTAGCAAAGGTCAATTGACCCAAACACAACAATTCAAACAATATTTTGAATGATCTAGTCATAAATCGTGCTAAAACAATGAGGTTGTGAATTCATACATACGAAAATGTTAGAGCTTGAACATCATCGTCTCTGCTTGAAGCTGTTCTGCATGAACATTTTAGAGTATTTTATTTTACCCGCACAATAGATGATTTCTGCAACAAATTGTTGTAGATAAGTTATTTTAGCAATGACATACATACCATTTTACCGTATACATTGCCGTTATCTTTGAAAGGGCTGGTTTCTAGAAGGAAACATTTAATCCACTGTTGACTTCATCCGCAGCACCCGATCCTCATATATGAGGCATCGATTATCGATGCCTATATTTCTATGGGTGAAGAAATACTAGGAATCCAACTGATAAATATCACTAACTATCGAACAAACTTGGATTTCAGTATAGCGCTGAGCCATGAAGAGAAAGACATTGTTTCAATAAACCTACAAGAATTCAATGAAAGAGATAATATAATAGACAAAGATTATCATGCCCACGGACTGTGTGCCGTATGCCATCTTGCTCAACTGCCAAGTTAGATTACTGTAAAAATGAACTTGTCCTTTTTGTCATTTCTATTCGATGTTCCATTCGTTTTGTGGTTAGGACCCACAACCTCAATTCCCTGACTCCATAGTTTATTATGTTGTACCATTACAGAAGTGTGATTGAAAGCAAGGTATAACAGATAAAACGTTATGTTCGTATTTCAGTTAATAATTGAGGATCTAACGATTTTTTTACTTTTTCTGGAGTGATTGTTGAAGAAGTACGGAAACGAGGGGATGGAAACCCCTGAAAAGGAAGTGATTGTGTGGTTGGAACTAAAAGATCGATGGAAGGCCATTTTTAAGGTCATGAATTATAAATTTCCAGTTCTTTTTCGTTGCAAGTTGTATCGATAAATTTTCGCCATTCACATTTCATAAACGCCTTTTGTAATTCTGGTGATAGCTCAGCCGTTGTTGTGTTTAACGTTAATTATCCGTGAACTACAATCACAATTACATCAGTTCCGTTACGCGATTTTTCGGTAGCCATATCAAAATCATTCTTATGTATAAGAAAACGATCATAACACAAAATTGTACGATTACAAAAAGCCGATTACACCGTACTAATGACATAGTTATGAATAATAAGTAGTAACAGCCGTATAGCCTGCAGTTCAGGCTGCATTAAATTATACTGACTCAAAATAATGAAAATGTAATTAGATGCTTGATGAGGTTAGTACAGTCTTTACGTGCACGTAACACATTGTAATTAATGTTGCATTTTTTTGACGTAAGTTGAAATTTATTTACTGGAATCAGCTCATTGTTACGGAAAAGGTATTTCTATTAATGAGATCAAATAGACTGACACAGATCAATTCTCATCAAGCTCTGAAGACTATGCAACTTATTCATTTGAGAATAATAATCATAATGTGATTATTGCTCCCATATTATTGATGAATTTTATCGTTCATAGGAGCCGATATCATTTAATGAACACTTATCCGTTTAATAATAGTACGCGCAAACTTTATAAGGTCTGTGTTAATCGATACACGCCTTATAAACCACCTGAATGATACGATTCCATAACATGACGATAGGCTCCTTGTATCAGTCTAATACTTAGACTTTAAGAAACCTTTTGATAAAGTTCCATACATGAAGCTTCTCGTCAAATAAAAGTTCTTCAGAATCAGTGATCCAATTTATTCATTGTTATCCAGGGAAGTATTTTAAGTCTAACCTTGTTTCTCGTGTATATAAACGAAAAATGTGGCATCATAAAATTTGGGAGACCACAATAATACTTTGATTATCTAAAACCAGTACACAACTCCAAGCCTGAGCTCTAAGTGTATCTTAGATCCAAAATGATCTCTACAACCCAACGATCTGGAGCTAAAAATGGCAGTTATCATTTAGGATCAACAAGTGTGGGACTATGAATTTCGGGAAACATTTGGTGGCCCGCGATCTGACTCCAGTGAGATGATTTCTGATTGCTATTGAGATATTCATATCGTGAATCCTTTTATATAATTATCACCCTAGATCACGTTGGTGAATAACGGAATTATATAAATCACATACGAGAATGGATTTCCCAATACATAAATTTTGTTCAGTCGTTGATCAGAACAGATAATCTGAGAGATAGACGCTCAGTGGAGAAGACATGTGAACCAACTCCAATTAGTCAGGACTTAATCAATATTTATAGTCAGACAAATGTAAACAGTAGACATGTGTTGTATAGGCTAGGTATACACACATGCGCTCATATAAAAGCAGTCAAACTTGATAAGCGAATAATAAACAAGGTCAAAACGTGACTCAAGAAGAATGAATAGATTGGCCTATCCGAAAGCTAGAATAAGGTATATGGGCTTGACATATCCTATGGACTGCAAAATTTTATAGCAATACGGTGAGTAAGTAAGTAAAGAAAACGCTAGGGTATTACGTGGTCCCTATGATCGGCCAAAATTTTCCACCTCAAATGGAAATTAAAAATGGGACATTAAACTTGATAAAAAATAATGCGACTTCGAACATTGGAGAGATTTGAAGGGTATGAGAAGCAATAAATAATGCGTGATGGGAAAGCATGTGTTTTATCATTTGGTTATACATATATGAACGATAATGGAGGTTCAGTATAATTATGATCGGTCTAGATATAAAGCGGTCCATAACGCAGTGCATCAGTGTGTTAGAGTCCTGGGAGTAGATGGTGGAGCTATTTTAGGCCTAGAACCGGAGTTATTATTCTTCAGAACTTGTTGATAGAGTCACTGTTACGGATAAGTATTGACAGCTTGTTCCACAACAAAAAATACCGCAATTTTAATCCCACAGATTAAGGGAAGACAGAGAGTGTATACACTTACGCCATCGTGATCGATTCTGAGCCATGTCACCAAGAATCTCCAAACATTGGTTACGATAGTCACGAGGACCCCAACCAAGTAGTCTGCGTTTACCAACATGGCTCAGACTAGACGTTAGTGACTTCAAGCACTGATGCCACGTTTTCATTCGGCCGCCCCTTACTTTCTTCCACCCGTCTTCAACACTAGTCAGCATTGCGCGTCGTAGTAATCGGTTTTCAGGCATATGCAACACGTGGCCCAACCATCTCAGTCGATGAAGATTCACAACCTCATCAATTGATTTACCATCATTCCCTAATATCCTGCGTTCAACCTCACTATTACTTACCCAGTGATCCCAGCAATATTTCTAAGGCACCTGTGATCAAATACTGGTAGCTTGCGAGTATCTTCTACTCGTAATGGCCACGTTTCGCAGCTGTAAAGTAAAACAGAACGAACTGCCGCGCAGTATACTCGTCCTTTTATTGATAGACGGATATCTTGCCTTCGCCATAGGTTACGTAAGCTGGCAAAAGCCAAAAGAGCTTTCTGAATCCGTGCAGAGATTTCGTCAGACACCAACCCGTTAGGGCTGATCGGAATCCCAAGATTAGTGAAGTTGTCGACATATTCGACTACTTTACTCCCTATCCTTAGTTCAGGTGTTGACGCAGACCAGTCCTGGAGCAACAACTTGCATTTAGATGGAGAGAAGCGCATTCCAAACATTCTGGTATTGTTGCTCAGTGCTACTAAAAGACTCTGTATTTTATAAGCGTCTTCATCAAACAGGACTATGTCATCTGGAACTCCTAAGAGGAGATCAATGCCCGAGAATTCAGTTGTTGAGAGCGTTATTTCCATCAGTAGGTCTATGATGAAGTTAAACAAAAATGGAGGTTGAGAGATCAGATGAAGGTTGCCCATAAGCTCTGACTCGACTAGTAGTGTTCGAATAAAGAGCCTTCGCAAGGTTTATGTACCTCTGAGGTACGCCTTTCAATGACAGACACTGCCACAGAATCGCGCGGTCTACGGAGTCAAATGCTGTTTTTAATTCAAGAAAGACCACCATTGTCGGACGCCGATAAGTATATCTGTGTTCTAGAACCTGACGAATGGTAAATATGTGGTCGATGCAGTCACGACCAGGTCTGAAGCCAGCCTGATTTTCTCGTGTTTGCAGTTCACGAGTCTTAGTTAGGCGACCGATAATTATTGACGTTAGTATTTTAGATGCTACATTGGTCAAACTAATCCCTCTATGGTTGTCACAGGATGATTTTGACCCTCTCTTATATATTGGAACGATAAGTGACTATGACCAGTCAGAAGGGATTACGTCCAACTGCTAGATTTTACCTAAAATATTAGTCGACCTAATCTCTAAAATTCGACCACCATCTTTAAAGACATCTGGAACCAATCCAACTAGACCAGCTGCTCTTCCTCGTTTCAGATTAACTAAAGCCTTTTGAACTTCAGATAGAGTCGAGGGACATACTTCAATGTTCCATTAGGCTGTCTGGGAATGGTGGGTAGTTGTATAGTAGTTGAAGACCAGCTGAACTGCTTCTTAAAACGTTCCACCCATTAACCTACCTGTCTGAAATGGTAGGACCTTGAGGAAAGACTGCTTCAGCCATAATAGCTCGACTGATTCATCACGATAGGCAAGCCCGACCACCACGTCAAGGTAGCAACAACGGTCGGGGTAGACATATATATGAACCATGATCAAAGTTAAATGCGAGTACTTGGCAAAAACTAAGTTACGGGTGATAAAAAAAACCGAAATATCAGGATAACTGATCTATCCAAAAATAGGGATAAATCATGTAGGCGTACAAAAATGTTAGTTGCTACAACTTCTAAACTCATCTAGACAAACTATTTAGACTGCCCCAAAGTCGGGGTCAAAATATTCACTCCAGAAAGTGTGCTAATGCATACTGAACACAAAGGTGGTCACCGGTATACCATCAGTGGAACGCCACTTACATGTACAGAAATGAAAAGATCTAGAGGTAATGGTAAG